GTTGGGCTTGTGATCGAACTACTTCTCTTACAGTTTTGACTTTTTCGCTTGAGTAGAGTTTTGCAGAAGCATCATTTGTCATACTACATTTTATACGATGACTTTGTGTATTTTTGTCCTATCCTATCCTTGAGGAGTCGTACTTAGAGGTGTATTCAGAGCATTTCAGTCCTGAAGCGTACTACAGTGCGCTACACGATTTTCTACTGAGACAAAATATCTTCACACATAAAGCAGAAAGTGTTCACTCCTGATGTGTCGCGTTAAAACCATCACAATGATTAACTCCACCCTCTTCTATTCTGGTTGTAGCCTAAGCTACCTCAAGGTAGAATAGAGTAGAATTACTCTAGAGGACTCTACTGTTTAGTTAGATCCTAAAAATGCTTTTATATGATCAGCATGACAGCGTCATTGTGCATCACTACCACGCCCTATTTCAAACTTTTTCATAAAACCTAAAAATTTTTTTGTTGATAGAAAAACAAATCCGTAACCAAAAGATTAATATACTTCAGTCATTTGATAATCTTGTCTCTTTTTTGTTTACATTTGAAATTTTCAGTCAATTTTTCCTATATAACTTCACTTTTAAAGCTAAATCGTACGTTTTCAAAAGTGATTTAAAATTTAATCGAAATAAAACTCATTATGAGAATAACAATTACAATAAAAATAATATTTAAAGCTTTTTCTTTTTTTTCATAAAATTTCACCGAAATATGAAAATATTCAAAATAACTATAACGTAAATGAATAGATTTTGAAAAATTCTTAATGTTTTTTTTCTTCTAAATGATAGTCTCATTGAGACGTTTATTTTGGTAAAGTTAAACATCAATATATATATTAATAGACCTTGTTTGAATAGTCAATTGTGTATGATTAAGTTTTATATATCTATGTTCAGAGAGTTTATTTTCTTTTTCATTGCTGTTCTTTGTTTTTGTTTTAGCCAAGTGGTCGTCAGTTAAATAATGAAAAATCTTTATCGAAACGTTCTCAAAGTTTACCACGGGAAGATAAAAAGGTTCAATTAGATTCTCTTAATAAAAATGAAAACGAGGAAAAATCAAATGTGGAAAACAATAAATAATCATTTGAAATAAAAAATCATAGAATTGATTTTAAAAAGATATTGATGTCAATTGTGATATTGTAATATATGTAATCGATATAAAACTTCTTCAATCAATATATTATATTATATAATAAAATTTGAATTAAATAATAAAATGTTAAGCTTGCTCTCGAATAAATGTTTGATATTTATCAATAATTGTGTTTTTATTGAACAAAGATTGAATAGAATAATATTCGTAAAAATATACTTAAGTTTATTAAATGAGTTATGATTAAAATGAAAGTTGGGGTGAGAAATAATTGTTTTCAAATAATAAATCTATCTTGTATAATATAAATGTTTGATTGTTAATATCACGAGTGAGTGACATCTTAAATAGAGATAGAATAAATATATATATATTTCTATGATATTATTATCATTATAATTATATTGATAAAAAAAAAAAAAAAAAGTTAATATTTTAATATAAATCGATATATAGAATTGTGAATTATTTGTTTATCTATAATGATTATGTTCAAAAGATGTCACTTGAACTAAATCAATATATATCTATGGCGATATATATATTGTTTTTTTTGTTATTATTTATATAATAAATTTGCTTGCTGTTTTTTGTTTTTCTTTTCAAATATGACTCATTTTATATAGAATTCTTAGTGCGGTTATATCATTAAATATTCTTTTCTATTAATAAATTGTTTTTATTTAAGATATTAAGGTCAAATATTAAAAAAAAAAACAAACAAACGAATCTCAAATAAGAATGAATACATCATCAGAAGCCCAAGCATATGGTGCCGGTCGAGCTGGATCTGCTTTTGATCCAATTGGTTTTATTAAAAAACCTCAAGTTATATTACGAATTGTTGCTTGGGTAGACATTTAATAATATATTTCGGATTAAAAAAAAAAACAAACAAATTGTTTTTGTTTTTAAAGGTATTTTCAATAATAGTATTTGGATGTATTGCCCAAGAAGGTTATGCTGATGATACATGTCGTTATAATGGTTCAAATGCTTGTGGTTATGGTGTTGGAATAGGTGTTATATCATTTATTTTAACATTGGCTTTTACTGGTATAGATCTTTATTTTCCAAATATTTCAAATGTTAAAACACGTAAAACAATTGTTTTATCCGAATTAATTCTATCAGGTATATTTAATATATATATATATCTACATATATTTATTTATTTATTTATTTAAATAAGGTATATTAGTATTTTTATGGTTTATTGGTTTTTGTTATATGACTGATCAATGGAGAAAAGAAGATAATAAAGATAAAGAAGGATGGAATGGTCGTAATAGTGTTCAATCAGCTATTGCATTTGCTTTTTTTTCAATTTTAATTTGGGTATTAAATTTATTGTTCATTTTTATTTATTTATTTATTTAATTCTATTAATAGGCTGCATTAACATTCTTTGCATTTCGTCGTTATCGTGAAGGTGTATTAAATTTATTTAGTTCAAATTATGAAGATCATTCAACAGTACCTGGTCAAACATATGGTGGATATACATCAGGTGTTGGTGCAGGTAGTTTTTCTCAACCTCCATTTACGGCAACACAACAAGTTCAATCAAATTATCAACCAACAACATATTAATTTATTTATATCTATATAATTATATTATTAATATATTTAATTAATTGTTTTCTCGTATGCATTTAATATAGTTTAACTTCTAGTCTCTAATAGTCACGCATATATATTAAATCTGTTCGTTGTTTTATTTGTTTAATATATATTTATTTATTTATTTATTTATTAAGATAAGCAAAAGTAAATATCCGGTTGAGTCTGTAAAAGAAAAAAAAAAAAAGAACTAAATCAAAAACACTCAGCATTAGTCAGATGAGTGTTCGAAATGAAAAACTAATAAATAAAATCCTCTTCCTTAATATTCATTCTTATATTTCTCTATTGTCTTACCAAATAAATGTTGTTTTTATTTTTGTTGTATTTTATTTATTAAAAATAGAAAAAAAAAAATCAATAGTCAATGTATTGTTCGTTTTTATCTTGATTCATATTGATGTTGTATATTCGTTGTATATTTAGAAGTTAAATAAAATATATATATAAAATAATAAATTATTTTATTTTAATTTATAGAAAAATTGAATAATTAAAAAACAAAAAAAAAGTTAATTTTAATTTAGTTTCGTTAACTAGTGACCTCTTGATAAGAGTTTATTTGAAAAACAAAAAATGTCTCACTAAATGATCAATCAGATGAAATAGACTAAATATAATAATTCTAATCAGGTAAAATAATGATTTGAGATGAATAATGTCATATTGATTCGTTCATTCTATTATCAATTAACTTGTCATACTAATAAAAGAAAAATGTTCTTTTTTTTAACCTTGGACAATCAAAATCAAGGATTTTTACAAATAAAATTCTTTTCATTTTTAGTTGAAAAGTTCAATATAAATTATTTAGTAACAAAAAAAAAAATAATTTCTATAGATGAATAGGTTAAGTAAGAAAAAAAGACTTTTTTGTTTTGTTTTGTTCTTTTTTAATATTAAACATTTATCTATTCAAATATTTTAACATATATTCAATATAATTTTGTTTTTGAATAAATATTTGACTAATAATTGAAATTTAAAGAAAAATAATTTATTCAATTGATAAAAGATACAAAAAAGAAAATTTTAAATTGTAAATGAAAATTAATAAAAAGTCTCATGGTTAAATTATTGAGATTATCTTAATATATTCAAATATGATATGAATCTATCAAGTCTATTAAATATTTGCTGATGTATTTTGTTCTTTTTTAGATTTATAATATTGTTTATTAAAGAAAAAAAAATAATCTTAAAAATGAATATATTATAATCATTGATTAATATAATATTATTCTTGTAATGGTTTTATTTTATTTCAAAATATCGAAAATAAGTATAGAGATTTAATCAAATGAATTTATTTCAATAATAATTCATATTTTTCTTTAATAAATAAATCTTATATATAAATAATTTGAGTAATAAAATTGTTTATTTATTTTCTATGATAATTTGAATTAGTTTATTTAAAATATAAAAATATCAAATATAAATAAAAATTCTTATCAAAATGATAATAATAAACTTTTATTTATTACTTAACAAATAACTTTGATATAAATGCTTAGAATATATTATCTTTCAAGGAAAAACAAGTTCGTTTTTTTTTTATTTTCAAAATAATAAACATAAATATTTTTTTATCGATTATCTTTGAAATCAATTTATCATTAGAAAAATGAGTTAATGATAGAGAGAGAACACATATTAATAATGTCTAAAAATATAAAAATAGATATTGTTACAAACAATGAATAATAAATATTATCTGAAGTTAATATTATTTCTAAACATTGATTTATTCAATATAATAGATTTTTTAATAAAATTTTTAATTTAATATTATAAATTGAAATCAATCAATTTATAAAACTAGACTAAAATAAAATAAGTTTATTAGAACAAAAATATATTCTTTTCAAACAAATAAATACAATAAAAAATTCAAGATAATTCAAAATGAGGTAGGGTCAATAAAAATGATTATTTCATGACAGATCGATTATCGACGGTAATACGAATATAATAAGAGAAAATCAGTTTGATAGGTAATAACAAAAAAAAGAAAAGAAAAAAGTTAGTTATATATTGATAATATGCATAATAGTTTGATTACCTTGATGATGAAGAATCTATTCTCCTTGATCATCATTATCTATATATAAAATATCATGAATATTGACAAATGAAAATGTCGTTATTTGATTATCATTCTTTTTATGTTAATATCTAGACACCTTTTTTTTTTCTTTTTTCTTTTGATAAACTGTTGTGTTTTTTTTTTTTTGTTACTATAAACGATATTGTCTTCTGTTGGAAAGAAAAAAAAAAACTAAAGTAGTAAGTCGAAGGTAATTTTTTTCTTTTTTTTTTTTATGAAGAGAAAAACCTTTAAAGGTATAAGAACGAATGCGTGTGTGAAAGAGAAATATATATATATATTTATATCTCTTTCGTTTTCGTTTTTTCCTACTATTGAAAAAGACACTCAACAAAATTATTCAAGAAAAGAAAAAAACGGAATGAAATAAAAAAAAAACATACTAATGAAATTATATTTTTTTTATAGATGGATGACAATAATACTGAAAAAGGTTCATCATCACATCCGTTTTTTGTTCGAGGTGGATGTAAGTTATTATTCAATTGATTAATTTGACTTCGTTTTTATTTTTTAATCTTTAGTTCCATTTGTATTTATTCCAGCAACATCATCAACATCTTTCAATTTTGACGATGATCATACTCAACATTTACCTGATGAACATCAAACTAATCAACAATTTATATTTGATGATGAGAAAAATGAAACAACAGGTATTAAGAACAAATATAATATAAAACTTTATCTTTCATTCTTTTTTTCGAAAATTTTCTTTTTTAGAAACTATTGATAATAAAGAAGAAAATGTTGATCCCAATCAAGAAAAAGATGATCTTCGTATTAGTCAACCAAAATATAGTGAATTATTAAAACATCTTGATTTTAGTCATACTAGAATGGTGTTTTACAATATAAAATAATTTTTTGTTTTTTTAAATTTTTCTTTTTTAAATTAAGGTTGATGTAACAAATCTTTTATCTGGTGAAAATGGTGATAATTTAATAGAAGATGAAAATAATAATGAAAAAGAAAAAGAAAAAATTGATGGAAAATATGAAAGTTCATCATCAAAAAGTTCATATCAACCAACAGATGAATCAAGTGATGAAGAATCTTCAATTAATATTGATGATAAAAAAGAAGAAAATGAAAATTTTAAAAAAGCTTCTTCACATATTCAAGATGAATTAAATAATTTAGCAAATATTATTGAACAAGCAACAGATATATCAAATAAAAAAAATTCTTATCATATTAATGATCAAGAAAATGTTTTTAATGATAAAGATAAAAAACAACAATTTTTTGAAGAAGATGATGATACAAGTAAACAAGCTACACAAAATTATGATCTTAATGATTATGAAAAAGAGGTTTGGTTTTCATTTTTAAATTAAACTTTTTTTCTCTTTCATATTATTAATTTAACTAATTCAAATATTTTAATAATCTATCAGATTGATTAAAACAGGTTATTTAGATTTATTTTTCATATAGTATCATTTCGATCAGTTGATTGTCAACAGTAAATATTTTTCTTTCTTTTGTAAATAGAAAAACATAGTAATCGGATATTAACATTATACAACGAGGGAAAAAAAAACAAAAATTTTATGATTTGATTTGCTTTTATTATTTATTCTTTATAAAAGATGAATAGAATATAATAACGGGTGATGAAAATGTTTTTTGCAAAATAAAAATGTCGTAGTGTCTTTCGTCAGCTAAAACATTTTCCCGAAAAATCCAAAGTACCTATTTAGAATCTACGTCGAAAGGACTTTTTATTTGTATGATTGAAATAATTCTATAGTGTCTCTCCTTTGGATACCAAACATGTCTTTGAACAGCACTAAAATTTGATCTGGAAAGGAAAAACGCCTTCGAATGATCGTCGTAAAAACTATTGACCTCTCGCTATTTTAAGAGTTTCTTCTAACTTTTTTCTGTAGAACATTAAACGGCGAATCTAACGAAAAAAAGAAGCAACAAAATACGATTGAATAGATAGGAGCAAATCGAAAAATATTGAGAAATCAGCTTCTTCTACGGCACCTGTTTTGAGCTGATTTTACAGACTAAATTTTAGTGTCGTTCGAAAATGTGTTTCACATCCAAAGGAGAGAGACATTGTAGAATTATTTCGACTACAGAGATAAAAAGTTCTTTGAATATAGATTCCAAATAGGTACTTTCAATTTTTCTGAAAAATGTTTTAGCCGACGATTAATTAAATATCATTTGAATTAAATATATATTTAAACATTGAACATATTATCAATAATTAGAGAAAGAGAAAAATTATTAAAAGTATTGATAGTTGACAATTTTTTTTTAAATTTAAATTGAGGATTAATTCAAAAGTCTGTTGAATAGAATTCTTCTTTCTTCCAGATAAATGATTGTGATAAGATAATTTTTCATATTTAAATAAAATCTAATTGAATTGATTCCAATCGACTAGATTAATAATATAGTTTTATTCGATTTTCTGTAAAACAACAAAAATGTTTGGTTGTCAAAGATTAAAGATTCATTTTTATTTTTGTCGAATCTATAGTTGAATTTTCTATGAATAATTTCTTTATTAATTTGTTTTGAAGATTCGTTTTTTTTAAAACTAATTTGATGAATTTTCTTTTAGTAAAAAAAATATTTATATTAAATATTAATTTTAAAAGATAATAATAATAATAATCTATAATAAAATAAATTGAATAATATTATTTTCTCTTCTATGATTAAATAAAGTTTTATTCAATTTAATATCTCTTATATAAATATATGAAATATGAATTAATTTCTATTTGTTTTGTTATGATTAAAGGTAACATCATCATCACCAAAATCAAATAAAAATGCTCGTTTAACAAGTCAAAATTCTACTAGTAGTCAAGATGATAATTTATCATCAATACCACGTTTAAATCAAAATTTAAATAATCATCAACAAGTTGAAGATCAATCCGATGAACATATTATTAATTGGAATAATTTATTTAATCGCAAAAATCAATCCGAAGAAAAAACATTTTTATTTTCTCAATCAAATAATAAATATTCTAAAACACCAGATAAACAACAAGAACAAACATCTTTATTTAATAAAAATAAATCTAAAGAATATTATAATTTATCATCATCATCAGATAAAGATTCAATAAGTGAACATATTTTTAATCAATTTAAAGAAAAAGAAAAACAAAATTTAATATCTGAACAAGATCAATCAATTGATCAAAATTTTAATAATAAACATATTAATGTAAAACAAGTTACTAATAATGAAGAACAACCATATAGAAAAGCAAGTGATATATTACTTGAACGTTTATCAAGTCAAAAACTAGATAAAACAAATCAAAATCAAAATAAATCACAACATCAAACATCAACATCTGATCATATTCAATCAATGACAAATGTGGTTTTTTTTCATTTCTATATTTTAAAATAATAAGATTTTTATTTATTTTAAATAGGATACATGGTTATCTATGCTTGAAAAACTTGAATTTGAACATAAACAACGTTTAGAAAAACAACAAAAACAATATGAAGATTATATGAAAAATCTTGAAGAAAATATGAAACGACGTTTTGATGAATATTTATCAACAACGAATAGGTTTATTATCTTTTTTTTTTTGTTTTAATTTAACTTATTTATGATATTATTAGTCAACAAGAATCAAAATCAATCGATGAACATAATACAGATGATTCATTAACAACTGATTCAAATTCTAGAAGATATAGAACTAATTCAAATACAAATCAATATCGACCATTGGCTACAGATCAAACTACTCATCATTATTATAGAAATAATTCAACTAATAATTTATTTAAATCAGATAAACAACAACAACAACCTATTCAAACAAATCTATCAAGATCACAATCAAGAGAAGATATTTCAAAGTAAGTTATCAAACAATAATACACTACTATATAAAAAAAAGAAAACATTAACTTATATAGATTATCTTCAAACAAATATAAATTGATTAGTTTTTTTCTTAATTGAATTTGTTTTTTTTATTTAAATAAAAATATTTATTTTAAGTTTAAGAAATGAACTGTCAGCTAAACATGCTAAACATATATCCGATTTAAAATCTTATTATGAACATGAAATTGATGAACTTAAAAATCAATTAAATATATCAAGAAAAAGGTATTTTTTATATCAGAATTTAAAAGAAAAAAACCATTGTTTTTTTTTGTTAATATTTATTTGTTAAGTCAACCAAGTAGTACAACAACTCGTCAATCAATTGAAACAATTGAACGAATTAATAATGAAAATATTCGTTTACATGATGATATCAAACGATTACGTCATTCATTAGTTCGGTTTTAAAAAAAAAATACTTTTTTTCTTTTTTTATTTTCTTTATTTAGAAAATAAATGAAGAAGAAAATAATTCTCTTCAACAACAATTAGAAGAAATTCGTAATCAAATGAATAATAAAGATGTTGAAATAAAAAATTTTCATAAAAAATTAAATGAACTTGAACAACAATTAAATGAAGCACATCATGTATATTTATTTATTTATTTATTTATTTTATTTATTTTATTATTATTTAATAGAATAAACAAAAACAAGATGAAAAATTTGTTAATTTTGATAGACAAATATTATTCTATCGAGACGAAAATGAAAAATTGACACGTGAACTTAATTTATATAAAGTTAATAATAATAATAATAATAATTATTATTATTCTTAAAATTATTTTATTTTAAAATCTAGGAACGTCTTGCTCGTCTTGAAGAACTTTATCGTCAATTAGAAAATCAACATAATAAATATCGTCAACAAACATTTACAAATGATAATAATAATAATAATAATCAACGGTAACACATTTATAGAAATTTGTTTTTTTTTTTTTTACAATAAATATATATTTATTTTATAAATAAGTATAAATCCTGATTACAATTATAATTCAGCTATGTCTTTAAATATTCCAACATCAAGAGAATATGGACATTTTACATTAATTAAATCAAGATATTCATCATCAACAATGAACACAACAAATGATAATAATACTCATTCAATTCCATTTACATCTGACGGTAAACATATGAGATTTATTTCTATTTATTTATCTTATTTAATTAATATAGGTTCACAAAATTTATCTAATCAAAATAATTCTCCTCGAAGTTTAAATAAGATGAATGATTATATTAATGAAAAAAATTGTTCATCACAATTCTATGCTCCACCATCAAGTATATTAATTAAAAAAGAGAAAATCATCAATAATATTATTTTATTTATGTATATTCTAGGACCTCTTTATTCTCCAATACAAGTTTCATCAAATCGTAATCGTATTGATCAAATGCCAGTTCGAGTAAATATTTTATTTAAATAAAAAAAAAAACAAAAAATTTATTTTATATTAAAAAAGGATTTCAATGATAATAAAATAAAACAAAGTGAAGAATTAGAAGCTAAATTTGATGATTTATTAAATAAAAAACGTGATTTGGAATCTCGTATAAATCGTATTCCAATTCGAGGTTTAACAACAGCTGATAAACAATTACTTGGTTTACTTGAACGAGAAATCGAACGTGTTGAACAACAAATATCAAGTGTTAAACTTGAACTTAGAAAAATGAATATTTTACGAACATATTAAATTTAAATACATTCTATGTTTTTTTTTTTTTTTGATAATATTCGGGTGCCAAGATTTTGATCTGTTACTTCGCTTATTGCTGCCGTCCAATGGCTATTTTTTTAATATTGGCTACTTGGATTTTTTATTTCTTTTTCGCTGTTTTTTTTTTTTTTTCTTGCAAATGAACTAATAGATTCACATGTGTATTTCTATTGTGTTTTTGTTTCAAAAATATCTAATCAAATATGATTGATATTGTCTTCAGATAAACTAAATGGCAACATCAATATCAACATCATTATGGGAATTGTCTGACTTAAATTCCATTGATAGTGATTTTTTTCGTCCACAAGAAAAAAAACAATTAGAAAATGCTTATAAAAATTTTTTAATGAATACAAAATGTCTTTCATATGATAATGATGATGATGATGATGGTGATGATTCAGACGATGAAAATAATGCTCAAATGTTATTACAATCAAAAATACAATTATTTCAATTATTTATTCGTACACAACCGGTTAATATTCGTAGTTTTAGGTCAGTAGGTTGTTTTTTTTTTACTTTGAATTTTCTTTAAAAAAGAAAAAGAAGTTTGTTATTAATTATATCTATTTTAGTCAATATCATCAACAAAAAGAACGAATATTTATTGAACGTTTATTTTATCTTGTTTTAAATAATGTTGAATTAACACATTTTTCAACATATAATGTTGATTCAATAATAAATATAAGTAAAGAATTAGAAAAATATCAACGTTCAACACATAAAATAATATTAAATACTGGAAAACTTAATACAATTATTCAATTTGTTTTATCTTTTTCATCATCAACTGTAGCAACATTTCAATTAAATAATCTTTTTTATTTATTATTAAATGATATGAATGATTTTTCCAGTAAAATAATTGATAGAATAGCTGATTTATTACGTATATATCATTTAATGACATATGGACATATTATTACAAGACAATATTTAATTTCAACAGTAAGATATTTATACAACATTTTCATTCAATAATAATTAATTTTAGTTTACAGATAAACAATTTCTTATCATTGAATTATAATTAACATGAGAAATATCTCAACTAAAAGGTTTAGCTCGTTCATTTTTATTTTTCAATTATCTCTCAATAATATCTTCACATCTAGTTACGAATCATACAGTGACTCGAACCATTTTTCTATGAAAAAAAAACTACTTGAAAATAAATCAACATTGATTCATTAATATATTGAGGCATTGTTCAAAATTTTGCAACGTTCTATATGTAGTTTATGAACAATTATATTATATTTATATGTATAGTTGAGTTAACATAATAAAATGTTGAATTAGTGATGAATAAATAGCAGAGATGTCCATCGCGGCGCTGCCGCTGCCGCTGCCGCGCCGCCACCGCCATCGCGGCAGCGGCGCGGTAGCGGCAGATTTTTTTAAAAGTCATCGCGGCAGCGGCGCGGTAGCGGTAGGTTTTTTAAAAAACCATTGCGGCAGCGGCGCGACAGCGGCAGGATTTTTTTGGAGGACATTGAAAAACTGTATGAATTTAATAGAATTTCACGATTTACAAATGAAACGCCCTGATATTGAATAAATCTGATGGACTAGTACCCATATCTCTGGTCAAATATAGTCACAGCAGTGAAATTAGAAACACTTTTTTGAAAACCGTCGCGGCAGCGTTTCTTTTATAAGTCATCGCGGTGCGGCAGCGTCGCGGCAACATTTTTTTATAAACCGTCGCGGCGCGGCAGCTTTTTCTTTCTAAGGCCGTGGCGCGGCAGTGGCAGATTTTCAGCCGCGATGGACATCTCTGATAAATAGTAGAATATAGAACAGTTTCAAAAAGGCATTGAATTAGCATTGAGAAAACATTAAAGTCAATTACTTTTATCATTAAAGAATCATGAAGATATTTGAAAAGACAATCTTTTTTTATCTGGAAAATGTCAAAAAGTTTCTTTTTTTTTTTGCAATATTTAAACATGTTTTCAGATTAAAGTGACTTTTTTAAATGCGTGATCTATGTGAAAAATATTGGGAGAATATATTTTGATGTTTTTCAGATACAAACATTGTTGTCTTTTAATGATGAAAATAACTAGCTTTATTGTCTTTTCTAAATAGTTAAGAAAAGTAACCTTGATTAGGTTATTTCAACATGTTTTCATAAGGACATAATTTAGATTAAAAATATTTTAAATATGAGTAATAAACATACGTCTTGATTTCTAAAATCTAGACTTTCGACTGTAGAAAGTTTTTTAAAGTTCATCAATAATGTTAGTAACATTCATTTTATATTTACTTAGAAAATGAGCCTCGAAAGACCAAATATAATTATGAAAAAATTTTATCTTGAAATAAAATTTGAAGTATTCTAGAACATATTGACTAGATCATCATAGATAATATTCATTGATATTTATTATAAACTTTTTTTTCAATTGAAGAAAAGATAATTTTACTTGAATTTATCTTATTTTTTTTTTTTTTTTAAATTTATATAGATTGATAATGCAATCAGTACTGCTAATTATGCTAATCCTGTTATTTATCCATTATATGAAAATTTTCTTAATACATCCTATGCTTATAAAGGTCCATTTATTGTAACATCATCAAGAAATTCATCAAAAAATATATCACGTATATCACTTTATACAATAATTCAAAATTTATCTATTCTTTTATTGGGTCTTAAAATAGATGATTTTGAATATGAAGAACAATATCTTTCAATATCATCTGAACATTGTTATCATATACGTTTAGTTATACGTCGTTTAACATATTTATTTAAAAAATATCATTATTCAATTGAATATCCATTAGAAAATATTGATAAACAAATAATTATTTATTTAATTAAATCAATTATATTATATGATAAAAGTTCTGATCAATTACGACGTTTACTTGATTTATATATGTTATCAATACATGGATTTTCTCAAATAAAAATAAAACGTCTTTTATATGATTTATTAATTAATTCATCATTTGAACATTATTCAATTGAAACAATAAGATGTTTTATTGAATTAAATCGTATTGATGATGATCAATCTGAAACAACATCATTTATTGATTATGAAAATAATAATCTTCAAGATGATTTATGGCTTAATGATCAACAAATTCGATTTGTTACACATAAATTATATTCAAATCAAATTTATAAAGAAATTTTTATTCCATTAATTAATGGAGATTTTAATCAACAACAAATTATTCAAGATATTTTGACATATTTAGATAATATACAATTAGAACAAGAACAACTTATTGATGTTCAAGATCTGAAAACTAAGTTGGCCATACTTCCATGAATGTATCATTTGATATTATTTCATGGTGACATAAAACTCAGGATTAATGTTTGTACATGCAGTGTGTATGTCTGTGGGTGTTTTGTTATATTATTAATTTAACTAATTTACATAAAAACTAATCAATATCTAAAATGACTTTATTTTAACATATAATAATATAGAAAAATAGTTATTCGATTTATGTTAAATTGAAATAAGACTATTTTATTCTTTTAGATAAAAAAAAATCATATCTAGATAGATTTATTTGAATTTCTAGCAAGTTAAAACTTTTTATCTATTTCAATAATAACTATTCATTATTTCTTTTTATGAAGATTTGATCGATGGAACAGCATTTTATTATTCGAGAAAAACATAAAAGAATCAATCCGTTTTTTGTAAAAAAATTATAAATATATTTAAACATAAGTATGTGTTGAATATTTCTGACAAAATCTAATCAGTAACTAATGCAAATCGAATATTTTCAAAAGTTTTGTTATCCAATGAGAATCGGTTGTAATTATTGATCTTTCAACAATAATGAGATTGTTTCGGTCATAAATATATATGTTTTTTGGTATCTATAGAAAAAAAAAAGTGTGGTCATAAAAGAAGAAAATAATCGATTAGAATTGATTCATTTGATTTATTGATTATAGATATGAGTAAAAATACAAAAGATAAGTTTCAATATTTCAACGTAACTTGAGAAGATCAATTAGAATTGATTTAATTGTATGAATCACAATTCCGATTGAGTAAGAAATAGATTTTGTTCTATTCTATGTGATGCTCTCGTAAATGTTAAATACTTTGTCAAACTGAATAATATCTACTTTTAGATCTTTGAATTAAGTATCATACAATGTGAATGAATATTGACTAAAATCGTAATTATTAAGTTTAAGACTAATAGCTACAAATTTCATTGAAAGTGAATTGATTAAGTCGGTATGGTGAACTATAAAATGAAAGTTTTATTTTTTTTTTTATTGTTTAGAGATTTTCATCAAATATGGAAATATAATAAAGAGTAGCAGACAGATTGATGTGATTTGAGAAAAACTTTCAAAAAGATGAAAGAATTCATATAAAACTATGAAAAATCCGTTTAAATTAAATTCATTTATCATATTGATAAATTCTAGTTTATCTTTAGTTAAGATATTTTTTCGTGTCTTATCTCTCATCCTGTTCTTTTCACTTTCATATTGTTGTCTGCACTATTATTATCATTTTATTACAAATTATTTTCACCGTTATATCGAACTTCAAAAGTCGCTTGGTCCGATTTACAAAAAAAATTCCCAATCATTGATATTATTTCTACATATATGAGTACTTAATAAATGGCAAAGTTCAATAAATTTCATTGAAAATAATCATGTTTTCATTTTTATTTTTTTTTTCTTTCGACATCTTATCACAAAAACATCAATGTTTCTAATGTATATGTCTTCAGTGTTTTTTTTCTGCTGGTGTCGAATTATTTTTGAGTCGTGAAATACATAATTAATTCGTCTCGCGTATAATGTCGAACGTATTCAAACGATGAAGGAAAAAAGGCGAAAAAAAAACCGGTCAACATTGATGATGGGATAGTGATGATAATAGTGGTTTTTATTTTCACACCTTCATGCATTCTTGTCATTTTTCTATACCTTTATTTCGATTTGAGACGTCAGAAAAATTTACATTTCTCATGTTCATTTATTGTCGAAGCATTATTATCAAACTATAAACATAATAAATGTAAATAGTGAGAAACGATTATTCATTAGATATTTTGTATAATTTGTTAATGGATTTAATAACGAATCATCATTTGTTTTATTTGTCTGAGTTACTTTAGTTACCATAAATAAACGCCTCTACATTTGCGTAATAAAAAATTTCATGACGTCATATTTATTTATACATTGTGTTATCACTGACTAATATTACCTGACGATCATTACTGCCACAAAGCGAATAGAGAAATAGCGGAAGCTCTATTTATAGATGTATATTTATATGATATATTTAAAAAAAAACAAGAGATTTTTCATCATAATTTGTTGTTTTCAAAGAATATTTAATAGATATGTACTAAATTATTTCGTATAAGAATAAGAAACCAATATAAATGATCTAAAGTCGATGCACTTTTATGTTGTAGTGCTGTCAAGAACAACATATATACACAAAAAAAAAACAACATTAATTGTTCGACCACAAAGGCGAAATATAACGCATTTTTTTTTTAGCGTCGTAGAAAAAAAGAGACGAGGGTTGTTGACAAGAACGTGACACTTTCTCAACGGAAAAAAGAAAAAAAAAAAAACTACGCGAAAAAGTATGAAGGAAAAAAACTAAGGGTAAGGGAAGGGAGAAAGAGAAAGAGAAACATCACATCACATGAGATGCGAAGCCAACTATTTCATTCATCATCACGCGGTAGTACAATGGTTATAGTCGTCATAGTTCTAATGATCACGAGGGCAAAACATCCGATACATATTGAGATAGATAAGGTTGTAAGAGTACAATTAGAAATTCATTTTCATACTATTTCTTTTTCGTTTTTTTAAAACATGTTTGACAGAACAGAACAGACATTATTCTGTCATGTGCTTCAAACTTCCTTGTTTTTTTTTTTGATTACTTACGCATATTATGTAATATGGCAAATTTTTTTGTGTTTTTTTTTACGACATAGTTCGATTTACTTATCATCATATTTGATACCACGATGATGACGTGTCATGCTTTTTCTTCTTTTTTTCTTTTTTCTAAATGACATAGAATATTCAATTAATTTCTAATGAGTTTTATTTAGAAAAGCAAATATACAAAATATATTTTAGGTCAAAATAGACCCAATATATCAAAGAACCTATTTTCATATATTATTCTGTAAATAATCAATAATAATAAATAATATATATTGTAAATACGAATATATGGCTTATGAACGACGACGTTTATCCACTGAAAGTGATAAATCTTCAACCAGTACAAATCATTCGACAGAATCAACAACAAACACTTCAAATCTTGTTCATCCAATTATTTCTAATGAACAAAAATTATCAATAACAACATCAAAAAAATCCTCGACTATAGATACAAATAAAAATTATCCAACAAAAAGAAGTTCAACAATGTCATCTCCTGCTGAACAAATCTTAGCACGTACAAAAAATACATTTGTTGATTTAAATCCATATTTTCAATGTTCATCATTACCAAGGTAATATAACAAAATTTATTTTCAATATTATTTATCTAAAATAATATTTTTTTTTTTTTTTTTATAAGTCATTGGCGAAAAAATAAATCTCTTCGTTTTATATTACGAACAAAAAATGATATTGAAATAAAAGCCAATACACGTGTTATTATTCTTGCTGGTAATGAATATAATCCATGTGCAACATTAAAAAATAATATCAGTTGGTTTCGTGGTGGTCAAGCAGAATTTAATGATTTAAGATTTTTGGGTGCTAGTGGACGAGGTTTTTTACATTATTTTGCTTTTTTTTGTCAGTTTTAATATTTAAAAATTATTTTGTTTTTTTTTTAAGGTAAAAAATTTACATTAACTATTATTATTGAAACAAACCCACCTCAACAATGCACTTATCGACGAGCTATCAAAATAACAGTTGATGGACCAAGAAAAAAACGTGAATCGAGTAAGATTTAATTGTTTAAAAATAATTTTCGAATGATTTGTATTATTTAAAGAACCAAAGTCAGATCTGAATGATATTCAAGCGGATGAATCAAATCTTGATGGAGATTCGGATAATGATACACAAACAGATAAGAATACAATGATAACAGAAACAAAACCAACTGTTAGTCAAGGTTTGTTTTATTTATTTATTTTAAATATATACATATATATATCAAATGATTATATATAGGATCATCGGGTTTACTATTACTTGCTGCTGCAGCTGAACAAAAACGAAAAGATGAAGAAGGTTATTTGATTTTAATTAAATTAAATTAAATTAAATCTAATATTATTTTTTTCTATCTTTAAAACAAAAAGATGAACCAATTAATAATAATGTTCAATCATCAAATTGTCTTAGTCCATCATCATCTCTAGCTTCACAATTTTCTAAATCAATTATTTTTTCTCCAATATCCGATGATACGAAATCCCATATAACACGACATCGATGTATACATAATCAACCAACATTATCCAATTCTCCAACAACGAATATTATATTAAGTTTAACATCAAATCAAAATCGATTTGATTTTTATCATCATCAACAACAACAACAACGACATGATCAACAAACAATTGTTGCAACATCAACAACAACTTCAACATCAAATACCCCAACAAGTACACATGTTTTATGTCGATAAATCAATTATTTACATTTTATATCAACATAATAGCTTCAAGCAATATTTAACCAACAATATATAACAGAAAAAAAAAAACCAACGGGTGCGTGTATTTTAAAATATGTCTATGGATATACCGATCCGAGTCTTAGCCATACCAGTCAGATCATATATTTATGTTATCATCTGACTGGAATTATTAACTGAAAATCTTTTTCTTGTTTAATTATCTTCTTAGACATTCCCTTTCTTCTCATCCCGAACTATAAGAGACAATTTATTGCGAAAACCGAATGTTTAATTAACAGTAGCTGGTTTACTGCTGACGCCGAGCGCTAAATAAAATGTTTATTGTATATATAATGAGATGATGGTAGCAACCTAGTCTGTTAAATGTTAATATGTATGTATATATATATATGTATGTATTAATGAGTAGTGTATTAAGTCAGATCGCGTTTAATTGTTTGTTCGGGCTCTCTCTTAATAAGATAACATAGGAATACACCAGCATATGCCTCCGTGGTCAATAAAAAGTAAAAATTCGAAAGAAGAGATTCAATTTTGAAAAATAAAAATAAAATAATTTGTATCTCATCTTTCGTGCAATACTGGTGTAAAACCTATTTTCTCTTTATTGTTAATGTTTATATCTTGACTTGATATTATATTCAATATAAACCCGGTGTGTTGTTATATATATAGATATCGTTTTTTTTTTCTTCTTTTGTTTTGTTTTTATATTCGGTGAGGTATGTACATAATTCGAAGGAGAAGTGTGTTCCATGATGGTTGAATTGTTGATACTGATACCCTTCTTTTTTTTTTTTTTGTTATAAGTTAAACAAATAACCTATTCGATGAATTGTAAATAGATGAATTATTCTTTTTTTGTTTTGTTTTTTATTTGTTGTTTTAACAAACAATCAAGGGTTTTAATCCCCTCCCTTCTCTCTATATGTTTTATGATTTTTGTTTTTCTTCGGCGCACAAATTGGGCGATCCGTTATCGATGTAGAATGGTGCATGTGAATCTCATCCGGTTTGTTTTTGACAATATCTGATGTGATGTTAGTATGTTTTTGCCATTTATGTTACGGATTTCAAGTCCAAAAATGAATTTTGTTTTTTTTTTTTGTTTGTTTTTCTTACTATTAACTTCGCAACTAAGTTGTATTTGTACATTTAACCTATTACAAAAAAAAAAAAACATATTATCTTCTGTTATTAAATATGTATATTGTTTTAAAAAAAAGGTCTATATTTATCTATGAATATGTAAATAAATCAATATTTTTTTTTATAAATTCTATTTTATTCTAATATGTGTGGAAGTAACTGTGTCTTAAAATAATGTGCGCAGTCGGTTTGTTTGTTTCTTTTTTTTAATTTGTCATTTTGGTGAATGGGTTTTTTTTTGTTTTTGTTTGTTTGTTTATTCTTGTAAATTTCTCTTTTGAATTAAAGTTTGTCGGTGTAATCGAGAAAAAACTCAATAAAATTTAAAATATCTATTTTATTTTAATTATTTGAAAATGCTGTTTTTTTTTGTTTTTTCGAAACTCTTTTATTATCGATTATAGTTGATAAAATATAATATTAATCATTCTTGATTTATTCAATGTTCATATTTAAATGTATGATGATTAACTCAGATTTTATAGATCGACATACTCAGCTGAATGTATAATCAACTATAAAAAGAGAATTTTGTCTGTATTCGTAGACATATTAATCGTGGAAGATTGTAAGAATATTAAAGCAATTAACTTCTATTTAATATATTTAAAGTAAAATTTGTTCATTTTCGAAATGAATTTTCTAAAGGACTGACAGAATCTTTCAAAATCAGGTTAGATTGAGTAAGAGTTTGATTTTTGTCCTAAACGAACTTTTTAAATATTAATTTGATATATAGAAATATCATTTAAATCTACGAAGTCAATTTTTTCTGTTGAAAGAGATAGTGTTGAACTTATTAGAAAACATACAAGAATCGATTTACCGGATTGTTTCGATGACATTTACTAATTATAATCTAAAATATTGGCACTAATGTTATGCTTTAAAAAAAAGTATTTTTATATATTGAGCATTTACATATGTATGTATTATTATGAAATGATACTTTCGATCAGGAAGAATCTTCTCTCATTATATTCTAACAACTCAATAGATTAATGATGTTGAATATATATTTATAAAATACAAAAGTTATCAATTGAAATGAGTATGAAAATCAATTTCTTTTCGACTACATTTAATCAATATTTTCCCAACAAATCTTAATATTTATCAAATCTAGTGAATGATAGGTTCATGCCTTTCAATTTTATACATTCGACCGTCTATGATTTAATAGTGAATGAAATGCATCCAAATAAAGAAAATAATTGTTGGACAAAATAGACAATATCCTTGTTAATTTCTATTTGATTGATTCGTATGATATTATTTATTGTATTTCGAAGATGATTTAATCAAGAAATTTCTCAATAGTTAGATAAACAATGATCTCAATAATGAATATAAATTGTTAGTTGCTCGTGTTTTCTTCATTTATTCAAACATCAAAATATAATTTCTCGCATTATAAGACGTTAAGAATCTGTGTTCTCATGTAATTAAATAACAGTTCTGGAAATGTGACATTGCTGGAATATCGAAAAGTCTTTTTTATTCAGATTATCTCTGAGATCTCGAATGAATGTTTTTTTTCAAATATCTAAAGAAATGTATTATCTTTATGCTTTTATATTATCTAAATGTGTTGATGTCATGGGACATACACCAACATAAACAACACAAATAACATTTACAAGAACAACACGAAACAACTACACGAATGTGGAAAAAAAGAAGGATTTCAAAGAGCACCAAAAGTTGTTGGTTGTTGAGTAGATGAACACGAAGAAGACAATACTTCGTGTAATTGCTGTTGCAACTTTTTATGTTGTTCACAAATTAACTTGTACAATTGTTGATCATCCATTGGAGTTGATGCATATGATTATCAAAAATTCATTAATTTTTCCATTAGAGTTATTGATTAATTCGTTTATACGCTCACTCTTAAAAAGAAAAAAAAGACGATTAAAGTAAATAACTAGTTAAAATATAAAGAATAATTCATAATAAAAATAAGGAGAAAAATTCGGAAGTTTTTATAAATTAAAAATGAAACGAAAATCGTTAAGACAAATACAAATATCAAAATTTTATTTATTTTGATAAATATTTATTATTTTAAACATCTTGTTGACTCATTTTATCAATATCTATGATTTTAGAATAAAAGGTTGTGGAATCTTCTCATGATTCCGAGAGAAATTTCTTGGAAAGATTCACATAAAATTTAGATACATTTTTAAATCCTTGTTGTTTGATAAATTCAATCAATAAAATATCATATTTTATTGTCTTTTTTTTCGAATTTTATTTTTATTGATATTATATTTAAATTCATTCATTCGAATACAATTCAATATCTATCTATGCTCTTTTAAGAGACGGTCCACGACTCCATCGAACATGGTCATACTCTCGAAAAATTTGACCCCTAGATTTTATGATCGGAAATGAAAGAGCAAAGTGAGAAAGCTATAAATCCAAAATTTGAGCTCATTATGACTTACTGATAAAAAGTTATGAACTACAAACTGAAAGCACCCTCAACAGATTTTGAAAAAAAAATTTTGTAAGTCAGTATTTGGCCATTTTTTCCACAGTGAATTCTCACAAACTTTTCGAGTAATATACCATCTGATAGAGCGAATTTTGCTCTACAAAACTGCATATGTCATCTTCTCCTCACCCTCCATTTTGTAGATACAACAATCACGAAACTAGATCACCCCTACTGCTTTTTCCGCATTTTTGTCTTGTTCTCTTTTTCATTGCAAGCTATATTTCTATG